ATTCTAGTAGACTTAGCCAAGCTCTTGCCACATCATGGCACCCACATTCACACACCAGCTGAGAGATGAGACCATGGTGAAGTAGAAGCAGCAGAGAATGCTTCAAGGTCCCCATCTGTCCTTCGAGCACACTGCCTGATGGCACACATCACTTCCGTCATGCCGGCTTTGACCTGACACCTCTCTTGGCCTCAGTCTCCTGAGCTAAGGAATGGGAATGACCGTAAAGAACCCATATCACATTTTTGAGGATTAAATGTGCTTGGTACAGAGCGAGTGCCCCCAGATTGTATTTTTGCCATGATTGTGTCTTCTGATCCCCCGGCTTCTGCGTCCTGGCCACTTCCCTCGCCCCTACTTTATCTCCTGTCTTCTCCCAGTCCCCATGTAGCATCTCACTCTCAGAGTGAGAATCTTGTCAGCTGCGCTGTCTGAACTTACCCCAGGGTCAGCCAGTGCCTGGAGCACAGCATGGCTCCACCTCAGCATGCGTAAGAAACAGACAAACCCTTCCTGCTCCTGCTTTTCGAGGGAAGTCACTGCCTTCTGTTCTTCCTGCCTCTCTTGTCCTATCCTCTGTAGCCCAGGATAGAAGGGCTGCTTGTTCCTCGCAGGATGACCCCTGGTCCATTGCAGCCAGAGCCTGGATGCAGAAGAAGTCACTCATGGACCCCCTGGAGCCTCACTTCTGAGCAAAGGGGCTGCTTTCCAGGAGTAAAGAAGCTCATGGAAAAGGACTCATTAATGAAACATTTGCATGGTTGAATGTAAAATTAGTGGTTCAAAGGAGAGAGACATTATTTGGGTAACATAAGACAGGAGGACTGGAGAGTCAGAGAAGGCACTCGAGAAAAGTGACATTTGTGGGGAGAGAGTGCCTTTTACTTATTTTTTTAATTTCAGTAGCTCTAACATACAATAGTATATGTTACGGTATTATACATTCAGGTGTACAATATAGTTATTCAGTAATTCTCTTTTTAATGTTTATCTTTGAGAGAGAGAGACAGCGCAAGCAGGGGAAGGGCAGAGAGAGAGGGAGACAGAATCCAAAGCAGGCTCTAGACTCTGAGCTGTCAGCACGGTGCCACCCAGGCACCTCAGTTATTCAGCAATTCTATACATTACTAAGTGAGCATCATGATAAGTATACTCTGAATCCCCTTCACCTATTTCACACATCCTCCACCCTCGCCCCTCTGGTAACCCTGGTTGTTAAAATGTCATTTTAAGTGAGAGGTAAGGATAAGGAGTCATTAATTAGGTGAAAGGGAGTCACGGGAAGGGAAAAAAGCGTTCTGAGCTGACAGAATAGTTGGTGCAAAGGTCCAGTGGCCAAAGAGACCTCAGCTCTTTTCAGACATTAAAGTAGAGTCTTGGAATGCAGGAGGCAGGGCAGGGAATGTCAGCTCATGCAGAGAGCTGATGAAAACCACAGGATAAGAGCTTGCTCTTAATCCCAAGAAGAATGGGAAACCACGGCTTTCTGAATCTAAGGGGTAGTGTGACTGGATTCTTCTTATGAAGTGCTCATTCTGGCTTCTGGCCAGGAGTCTCACTGACAGCAATCAAAAGAGACTGGGGTTGACAGGCAGCTCAGCACCCTTTCCCCCACTAACTTTTTATTTTGTTTGCTCTTCCTCTGATTCCAAAGATTCACATCCCAGTATACATTCTACTGCCACAGCTCCATCCCATTCCATTTTTCTCACCTTCTGGCTTTCCTTCCCCAGCTCCATTCCCCCACTAACTTCGTAAAACTTGCAAGTTAAATTTTTCAAAGACTGTTTCTGACAAAGCAGTGGGAATTAGATTTGGTGAAGCCCTTCATAAAAAATTGAAGGCACGCTATATTAACATACATTGATTTATTCATAGTGTTTCATTACAAGTAAGTGAGGATCCTGTAATACCAGGAAAGGTTAGGAGAGCAGGAGAGCACGGTATATTATATTGACAGCTCGGTGGAAATTGAGTCGCTTTTGGATTGAATTTGGAGTGCAGAAAAGGAATTGGCTAGTAAATAAGGCATGAGTTTTACCTCCCAGTGTCTGTATATCAGTGTGGTTGCCACCAGCCCAGGCAGGGGGACGGGGGTGGAATTTCAAAAGGATGCCTGAGCACCTGGTAAACTGGGCTTGGCTGCCACCCGTCAGAGCTCTATGGATGTCTCTGTTCTCATGCCACCGGGAAACCGGGAATCCAGCTGCACCCTGTGGGCTCAGCTCCCCATTTGCTCACCATGGCCGATCACACTGGGTTTTCCCTGGTTCTCCCAAGACTGTTCCTACCCTGGGCCTTTGTCCAGGCAGTTCCCTCTGCCAGGAACCTGGAATGCTCTCACTGCTGCTCTGACTGTGTGTTACCCGGGGCCGTCAGCTCACTTCTTCCCTGAGACACCTCCATGAACACCCGAACACCCTGTCTTAGTTTGGTGACCCTGAGACACAGATTCGAATGCAAGTAGATTACTGAGAGGTGGGAGTGGGGAAGGGAAAGGAAGGTAGCCAGTGATGGATGTGTTTCCCAGCCAGCTACCTTGGAAGCAGTCAGAGGGAATCCCTCCAGGAAGTCCCCTGGGATGCTGCAGGAGCATCACATGGGAGGACCCCAGAAAACATGTGCATCACTTACCATCAGTCTAGCTCTGGGCATACTAATTACCCAGCGCAGGCGAGTACCCACCCCTTGGATCAGCGCTCGAGCAGGAGGAGGCAGATGTTTGCATTGTTTCTCTCTGAGAAGTATGGAGCAGGTGGGGGTGACCAGAGGGAAAGCTGGGGACAGGTTCACCGAGGACCTGCAAGACAGATACTTCTGCCCAGGCTTTGCTTGCAAGGTGCCCAAATCCTTCAGCTCCATGTGTTTCCCCTCTGGGGCTTGCTCAGCTCTGAGGAGTCCCGTCTCTCTACTCCTTTGCATGTAGCATCGATTGCTACATCACCTGTGCTTGACAGAGGAGAGAGAGGTTCCCTCTTTCTCTAAAACATGTGGTGCCCTTGCCAGAAACCGCAAACTGCTTATTTTTGATGTAAAGTTGGTGTGTTCCTGTTTCTGTCTGGGTTTGGCCTTCCTAGCTCATACGAGACATTCTTGACAGAAGACAAAGTGATATAAAGTGTGTGTGTAGTTGACCTCCCTCGCTCTAGAATGGAAGATACCTGAGTACAGGGTCAAGCCTGCATTCACATCGGCTGTACACAGCAGTATGCAGTGCAGGTCCCAGGGTACAGGAGTGTGCACGAAACATTTGTGATGGAGCAATGAATGCATTCTTTAGTTTATGAAATGTCTCCAAGCCGGGCAGCAGCTTCTAGAATAAGGAGCACAGCTTTTAGATCCAACAGACCTGGGTATAGGCATGTGTCAAGGGTAGAACCCTGGACAGCCATGAGAATGTATGACGTAGAGCTACATGTGACAGCCTGCACAGTTCTCACAACCATACTGTGGAGCGAAAGAAGCCAGACATGGAATACGCCCTGTATCTTTCCACTGATGGAAAGTACCAGAACAGGCAAAACTAGTCTATGCCATGTGTAAGCCAGGATAGAGGTTATCCTTGCCAAGGGGTGGTGGGGAGGGGTTGGAAGGGGGCATGCAGACTAAGTCTTGGTTCTGGTAATGTTCTTCTCTTGACTGGGTACTATGTCCAGTTAGTAAAAATTCATTGAACTATATAGTTTCTGTATGTATGTTATACTCTAATAAGACATTTTTAAATGTTTGTTTTTATTTTTGAGAGAGAGAGACAGTGTGCAAGCAAGGGAGAGGCAGAGGGTGAGGGAGACAGAATCTGTATCAGGCTCCAGGCTCTGAGCTATCAGCACAGAGCCTAACGCAGGGCTCGAATTGACAAACTGCGTGATCATGACCTGAGCTGAAGTCAGACGCTTAACCGCCTGAGCCACCCAGGCGCCCCTAATAAGACATTTTTAATAGAACAAACTAGATGAAACAAATAAACACACAATCCTGTGTTTGTCACTTTAACAACTGCATGACTTGGGAATGTGGCACTCAAAGTGTGATCTATGGGGGCTGGTGCTGGGATGCCAACTGTTTTTGCTACTTTCACAGCAGGGTTAAGTGCAGAAATAGAAAGAGAGCACTTAGAAGCTCTCATGGTACCTTGACATTGCTACAGCCCCCCAGTGTGGGAGGAGTGGACGTGTCTGGTGGCACAAAGTGCAGACCAGAGTGGCTATTACCAGACTTGTGCAATGAGTCCCATGTGATGTGGTCTGCCACAGAAAGTTTAGAGAGTGCTGACTTAACGCAAGTTGCTTCCAGTTGAGCCTCCGTTTCTCCAACATTTAAATGAGATAAATATCGTGATGTCCTGAGGTTTGGGGAAAAGGAACAAGAAACCGCATGAGAAAGCAGCAGAGAGCACCATGTGGAGGAAGGGACGAGGGAGCTGCATTTTTAAGTAGCCTTTCAAGCCATTCTTGTCAGATGTCACACCTCAACACTGCTCTAGAGCTGTGCTGTCCGGTGTGGTGGCCACTGGTCACACGGAGCTACGGAGCTTTTGAAATGTGGCTAGTCCGAATGGAGATGTGCCCTAGGGACAGACTACGTACTAGATGTCTAAGACTGAATATGAATACGAGAATCTAAAATATCACGTTAAATGTTTATGTTGATCATTGTTGAAATGATAACACTTTGCATATATCAGGTTCAACAAAGTATGTTATCAAAATTAATTTTACTTTTTTTTTTTTTTTTTTACTTTCTTCTCCTGTGCCCATTGGATGATTAAAAAGCATGTGTGTGGCTCCCATTCTGTCTCTGTTGGGCAGCAGCGCTCGGGCGCATGTCCGCAGCGGTCTTGTGAGGCTGGGACCATCGGGAAGGTGGACGATCACAGCAGAACTTGCCGTTCAAACTTACCTGCCTTCTTCTCCTTTCTTCTCCTGCCGTTCCCCTGCATGAGCTCCATCTAGCTTCCTGTGTGAGGTGTTTATTTGTTTGTTCGCTGGCTTGTTGTGCAGATCAACTACAAGGCTGTTGGCTCCCTGGACCCGAGTGCCGACCTCTCCAGCCAGCGGGGGAAGGTGTTCAAGCTGCGGAATGAAACCCACCACCTCTTTGTGGGTCTGTACCCAGGGACCACCTACTCCTTCACCATCAAGGCCAGCACAGCAAAGGGCTTTGGGCCCCCTGTCACTACAAGGATTGCCACCAAAATTTCAGGTATCTGTCTTAGAAAGGGGAAAGGAAGAAGGGTGTTCTGTTTTCCCCCATTCCTGATGTTCCTGGGAGTGAAAAAGGGCAGAGGCAGCTGTCACCTCGTGGTAGCGGAGCAAAGAGGATGGTGCATCCCCCTGCGTGTAACACTGTTGTTCACGAAGAAGCCGAATCCACAAACCAACTAAAGTGTAAAAAACATACTAATTAGACTAGACCAGAGCGAACGCTAAGTGACTCACCAAATAATTTACCACACAGTTGCATTAAATAAGACTTCTTCTTCCCATACAAATTGGTTTGTAAAAATATGATTTCTTTCCAAGAATATTCCTTTCGGCAGTGCAGGGAACAGCCATAGGTTCTCATGAAATGTCTGATGGATGAATGAATGAATGAACGAATGAACGAATGAATGAAAGTAAGTTAGTTACAATGCCATGGAGGTCCGAGATTTCACCTGCCATCACCAGTAGGGTCCCCTTCACCACCAGACAACATCAACACAGCATTATCTCAGATTCCACTTTACAATATACAATTTTTGCAGATACCTCTGGAGTTCTGGCGTGCATGCGTATCTCTTTTGCATAGACACTAGTGGATTTTGCAGCTTTACGTTTTCACTTATCTTTATACCCTGAGCATCTTCCATGTTGGTACATTGCTTTCATGATAATGTTCCGTCAAGTGGATGGATGTAATTTAATTAAACATTCCCCTGTGGTTGCCTGTTTTTAGAAAATAATTCTTCAGTAAACATGTTATAGAATAAAGTTTAATTCTTTGGTTTGGATTATAACTTTAGGATTAAATTCCAGAAGTTGAAATACTGAATTAAAAGGGATATGGGTTTTAATAGCTCATCATACAGATGGCTAGATTAGCTTCCCAAGAGATTAGATTTCCTTGTCCTCCCATCAGTCAGGCATGAGAGAAGGGGGGGTGTCCTGAACAAAGAGAGAGAGAGAGAGAGAAAAGATAAGAAGAACTAGTTCATCACTGCTGTAATTTGCATTTCAGATGTGTTTAATGAGGTCGGCTCTGTTTTTACATCTTTGTTAAGTACTTACACTTCCTGCATTCGTCTGTGTATTCGGTGTGGCCCTCTGATTGCTGAGGGCTACCGGCCATATCACTGCCATCCTTCCCTTCTGTCTTTTGCACCTTGGAGGGGCCCACGGGCAGGTTGGAAGGAGAGCTGTGTTGAAAACCTGGGACACCACGTGCCTCTCACCCACCCCTTTCCCAGTATCCTCCTTCTGGCCATCCAGGGCATGTTTAGTGATGGCAGCAGGGGAGGTGGTTAGCAGGGTTTGGGACCTGCACTGAGTGCCCTCCTCTCTCTGTCCAGCTCCATCGATGCCGGAATACGACACAGATGCCCCACTGAATGAAACGGACACGACCATCACGGTGATGCTGAAGCCTGCTCAGTCCCGGGGAGCCCCTGTCAGGTGAGGAGAGCTCTTCCCTTGGGCCTGGTTGTTTTTCTTCTCTGCACTGTGCAGTGCCCATGAGCAGGCCTGGCTAGAAGCAGGCTTCTGGAAGGTGAGATTCCGTAGCCCCAAACTCAGTTCAGGGGGTACCACTGAGTCACAGCCTTCCCCCCAACAGTGAGGAGTTACGATTGGTTCAGAGGATGGGGACATGAGGAGGGCTGGGAGAGAAGTTTCTGGACCACACCTATGGTCAGTCTGTTTAGTGGGGTTGGAGGCCTGGAAACAGAACCCCCCGGAATACCTTTACATGTGTGACTGCCATTGACAGACACGTGGACCGACTCGCTGAATTCTACAAACTAGTCCGAGATGATGTAAATGGGACAAGACCTCTGGGCTGGTCCAGTTTAGGACCTTACGGTGCTAGAGTCCCTCAGGAGGACTTGAAAAGTCATACTGCTGACTTTCATAAGAGGTTATTGGAGTTCAGAAGCATGCTTCTGGCCCAGGCAGTGCAAACAGCTCAGTAGCTAAGCTGAGCCAGTGCAAGTCCCTGGGCTCATGGCTGCCTGGAAGATGGGCATCTCTTCGAAACAACTGTACTCTGCACAAGGGCAGCGGCTTTCACATTGGCTCCATTCCATTAAACAAGCATCCATTGAGTATCTCATCTACCAGGAATGCTGGGGCACAAGGGATCCAAATGATTCATTCATTCATCCATTCCTTCAACAAACACCTGTTGAGCAGTCAGTCACTCAGGGCCAGGCACTGTTTAACAGCTTGGGAGATAGTAGCGAACTAGCTGTGAAGAAGTCATTTCCTAAAGAAAGTTAAACTTTAGTTGGGGAGCAAGAAACATGAAAACATCATTCCAATATGGTGTATACTTATGGAAAAGAAATTCTCAGCTGACATTCTCAGGTGACACCAAGGTGTTTCTTAAATGTGATATAAGATGTTGCCAAGGCAGTAAGAGGGTCCAGCATGAGCAAGGCATGAATGAGAGAAGCATCCTGATGTATTGGGAGTAGTTAATCCAAGGCTCTGGAATTTGCTTTAGCATAAAGATCAAGGCAGGAGTGGTCGGGTGAGAATGGGGGCCATGTTTGAGAAGCTCCAGCTTGTTTGAGGGGTCACAGGAAGCCATTGGATAGCCACATGCAGTGTCACTCTTGCGACACCGGAGACTGGGAGACCAGCCAGGGTGGAGGCCCCTGAGATGGTCCAGTTATCTGTTTTCCAACCTGGATCCAACCTGGATCCAGCTCTACGCAGAAGTTGTAGGTGGTAGAGCAGATAGGATCAATTGCCAACCATTTGGAAGTCCCCATCTCTTCCGAAGATTTTGGACTGTGTTCTACCCTAAGTCATGTGAATCCTTCAGGCCTTGCAGTGGGTATGCGTGGTGTTTGTGGAGCACCTGGCAATAGAACCTTCGCCTTATGTTCTCCACGTCGGCTGTTCCAGGACTGTCCTACCTGTGATGAGCCAAAACAGATGGTGGCTTTGACATCACATGAATAATTGCTTGAGTTACTGCTTTTCTTCCTGTTACTCTCATGCAACATTGTCGTTTGATACACTCTGTACAACGCTTTCACTCTCTTACACATTTTCTATGTGATGATCCTCATTGTCACAGAAGAAACTGAAGCTCATAAATGCCCAAGGGTGCATAAAAGTACGTAGGAAGGCTGAACTTGGATGCAAGGCCTGCCGGTGCCAAATCATGTTTCCATTTAGGCCACCAGTGCCTCTCTCCCTTCCCCAGCTCTTACCTCTCATACAGCAGCATTGGTCACCATTTCAAAATCTTAGAAAGCTTTTCAGATGATGGAAGTGTGGTCCAGAAAAAAACAACAGCCTGCCCCATGTACGTTGCACAGCAAGTTAGCGGCTGACCCAGGTGCACAGGCCAGATCTGTACACAGCCCACAACCTTTACATTGGAGACCCAGGTAATTCCCTTTCCTTAATGAAAGTCTACAAATCAGCAAGGGGACTTCATCACTTGGCACCCCACTGTGGCTTCCCAGCAGCTGCAGATTCCATCTAACGCACTGTAATGTGCAGGCTATTCGGGGAGAGGGGAGGGAAGACGATGAAGAGGACATGACTTTGGTGGCAGCAGACCTGGATTGAAATTCTGCTCTGACACTACTGTGTGACTTTGGGTGAGATACTTAATGCCCCTGACACTCATTTTCCTCATCTGGAAAGCATGGATGGTAGTTATTTTGCAGAGGCTTAGAACAAAATACGGAAGTACCCAAAGCAAGGCAGACCTTCAAGAGCTGTATGTTAGCTTTGCTGCTTCTCTGTGGCACTCAGGAGGTCCTTGCAAAACAGTGTTTGACAGTCTACTCTCCCTGTGGGATCAAAGTGCTGCCCACTTCCTTCCTGTTCAAATTTCCAAAGCCTTTCGAGACCGTAATTCCGTGATGGGGAAGGAAGGGCTTTTGCTTTTTACTTAGGTGTCCCTAGCTGCTTTTCAGCATAAAGGCTCAGAAAAACTTTTTTTAAGGAAAAAATTGTACTGAGAAAGAAACAATCTTGGTTTTGCCCAGTGGCAGGATAAAGTTCATTCTTCTACAGAGGATTCATGGTCCCATCCTCAAGATGAACCAGATTATAGGTCTGTGAACCCCTGAAAACTCATCAAAGCCATCTGAATACCGATGGGAGTAATTATCACCATGTTTCATTGGGCAGTTGGCTATTTGGTGGGATTGCAAGTAAACTTCCAGGAGTTTAACCTTGACTAATTCATTAGTATTATTATATCCCTGTTGGAAATGAGGAAACTAAAGTTCATTGTCACAGAGTCAGCATGTGATGAAGATGGGATTTACATCCAGACCTGCTCAAAAGGGGTCCTCTGAGCAGCTTAAACCATTGTTATTGGGGAAGCTTTTCCAGTTCTCCCAAAGAGGTACCCCTTACACTTTCCCTCTGAGCCTACATGCTCTAGTTTGCACATCTTTGTAATAACCTTATATATCCTAAGTAAATTAGGAGCTGGGAATGGAAATGCCCCAGTAGCAGTGAGAAATAACAGTAAGTAGGAGCAAAAAAAAAAACCCAAAACGAACAAACAAACAAAAAACCAGGACAAGTCTACAAAACAAAGAGGTTCAGCAAACAGGGAAAAGTACATGCTGTAGCCCCTCACAGCCATGGGTGTTCATTAGCTGTTCTGGTTCAGCTAAAAATGTAGGATTAAGTTCTATGTCTTCAAGTTAGAAGAGCCTGCTGGTTTCCATTTATTAAGTAAGCCCTTGCTATGTGTCTGTCCCTGTACGTAAACTATCTGTATCCTCACAGCATTGTGATAATCATCTCCCCATTTTGCAGATATGGAAACTGAGATAAATAGAAACCAAGTAAGTTGACTCAGGCCACAGAACAAGCAAGGGGTACAGGCAGAACTTAAACTCAGTTCAGCTGACCCTAAGCCAATACTCATTTCTCACAACCTCCCAAGGAGAAAGTTGTGTGTGACATATTTTGGTGACATTTCCACTGGAAAAAAAAATTAAATGTCACTGCTCAAAGGGTCAATGCTTGGTGTCTGGAAATGTCTGACTGCTTTTCTTCCCAAAGAAGAAAGGCTCTGGATCATTGAGGGTGGGGACAGGGTCAGTTTATGGGATTATTTTCAGACTATTGCTTGGACATTTGCCAAGAAGAGAAGGAGATTAACCAGTGCCAGCTAGCATGACTTCCAGGTCAAGTACAGTGACAGTAGTGGCAATATCACAATAGATTTCAGTTACCTTAGCCCTCTTTCACCTTGAACTCTAGGCACTAGGATGCCCTTCTGGGAGGTGGTAGACCATTAGGTCATTCAGCACATGTTTAATGAGCCCTTGCGATGTCCCAGGAACTGAGCTAAGCAATAGAAATGTAGCAGAAAACAAGGTAGATTTACACCTGGCTTTTTGAGCCTTACCTTTCCACAGGTTTGCTTGTGAACAGGAAGGGAGGTGGCGAATCAAGCAGGTGAGCAGACACAGTTCTGAGCTGAAAGTGGTCAAACAAGATAATATGAAGCCTGTGGGCACCGTGTATTGATAGAAGAACTGCACTGTCCAGAGAGATGGGCACAACTCTGGCGAGCTGGCCAGTGAAGAGTCCCGCAGATGGGGTACATGGGGATGTGGAGAAGACTGCGAAGACTCTCTAACCACAGGGCACAGTGAGCTCACTAGATAGATTGAGTCACAGATGTTTGGAATCCTATTTTATAGTTGAATGCTCCTTTAATTTCACTGTATCTTGTGATTATCACTAACTCAGTGAGTGAGCTGGGTGGGAAAAACCATTTCCGTATCAGAGGAGGGAGCTGATGTCTAACATACTGAGTGGTTAGCCCAAGGTCATGGAGCTCATTCTACACAAAGCCTGTGGTGGGCCTCACCTCCTGCTTCTGAGTTTATTGCTCCCTCGAGAAGTTCTGGGTTCTCCGTGCCTGGGATGTCAAGTGGTGACTCAGTAACCTTTTGGTGGGGCTGTTGTAGAGTGAGCTTCCATTAACTAGGGAATCTGCGGTAAGCAAGATGCCTTCCCAGGGGGCCTCCAACCCTGGACTATGCAGGCCCAGCCATAACGTGGGACCCCCAGCATATCTCTGGGCGGAGTAGCCCATTCACCAGTAGTCTCACCATTGAGCCTTGGCTGCAGGCCCCACCCAGGTAGCTTCCTTCCTCCGTCTGCCAGCAGTGTTCTGGTCCCAGCTCAGCCAGACCCCAGCCCCTGCTTGTCTGCTTGCTGTGCCTGGGGAGCCCCATGGATCTAATCTACTGTGCCTGGTAGAACTGGGCACACAGGGAGGCGAGGAGGAGAAGGGAGAATTGTCATGTGGGGCTCCCGCACCCCCATCCCTCCATCCAAACCACCTCGGAAGCCTGGCCTATTTTTCTCATACTCCACAATGGAGATTTATTGCTTTTGCATTGCTTTCCCCAGGCCTTCAAAGATTTATTGGTTTTTAAGTGACAGAATCCCAGAAT